CCCCAAAACCCCAAAACCCCATCTCATAAATGTTCTGGAAATTTAAGAAAATTGAATATAGAGAATATAGTTAATGTTTATTCCAAATTAGAACTAAGACTCATTATAGTTTATATAAGGATAAAACAGTTATTGGTCAGTTTGATGAGCTGTATGTCATGAAGTGTTTCTCTGATTTATAGTTAGGACCTTCTTTAAGTTCATGAATTGCATAGTTATTTGGTGATCCAAGGTCAACGTATTTCAATAAATGCTTATCTTGGACATCAGGTGGAATCAAATTTGAGGCATCACTAATAGCTCTAAAGGTCTTCTTTTCAAAATCTTTATCATTGTTGATATTTTCGATATCTTTATGTCTATTAATGTTGGCGATAGTGTTATAGGTATTAAGAATGCTGCTTCTTTCTACTTTTGGTACTGGATCCATAATAACTGGACCTATTCCCCATCTAGAATCCCAGTAGGGTGAGTCTACATACAAATCGTCGACGTCCTCTGACATAGATTCAACAACAGGCGTTTTATCTACAATAACTGGGCCGATTCCCCATCTCCTATCCCAAGGGGCAGACTCAACTTTTGGTCCTCTGTTAATTACAACTGGACCATGTCCCCATCTTGGATTCCAACCTTTGATTCCGCCAGCTTCAACCATTTGAACATCAGGGAATGGATAGACAACTGGTCCTGGTCCGTAGTAAAGTGGATATGGTGCAATTAATTCCTGTTAAACCTTTGGATTAAATTCTTGTTTTAAACCTTCAAGACCAATTCCCCAAGCTGGATTCCATCCCTGTACTAATGGTTCAGCAATTATCTGTCTGTGAGCCTTTTACCATGCTGGATCACAGAATGGCATTGCCAAGCACATCATAGCAGCCTCAACTTGAGGCCCCCTTCTAAGAATCTTATTCTTGATGAATGAAGGAGATTCTCTGATGGTTTCGTAGTTTTGGCAAGTGATCAATCCAATCAGTAGAGCAACAGCAAGTGTCAAGGTAAAGTATTTCATTTTATAAAAGATATATTTATTATATTTTAATAATTACTTCGCCTTATATCATTATTAAATTATTATAAATATCCTTTTAAATCCTATAATTTTATAATGAAGGGGTTTTGGGGTTTTGGGGTTTTGGGG